CAGGGGTTAATTGGGGGTCAAGGGTTAATTGGGGGTCAAGGGTGGGGCTGATGGAGGGGTGAGGGGTTAATTAGGGGTGAGGGGTTAATTAGGGGTCGAGGGTTAATTAGTGGTCAGAGGTTAATTGGGAGGTGCTTAATGCAGGGTTAGGGTTTAATTAGGAGCAGGGGTTAATTAGGGGGTCAAGGGTGGGCTTAATGAAGGGGCCAGGGGTTAATTAGGAATAAGAGTTAATTAAGGGGTCGGAGGATGATTTAATGGGGGGGTTCAGGGGCTAATTAGGGAGGCCAGGGGTTAATTAAGGGCTGTGGGCTAATTAAGGGGTCAGAGGACGATTTAATGGGGGGGGGCAGGTGTCAATTAGGATTCAGAGATTAATTGTTACCGTTAATTATTTTAAATCGCTCTATTGATTATTTAATATCAATTATTAATTATTGTTACTTATTATTAATAATAATTATTATTCATTATTACTAATAACATTAATTAATTAAGGTTCCAAGGGTTTTTAATTAATTAATTTTCAATTAAGAATTAATTAATTTTTAAATTAATTACTTAAGGTTCCAAGGGTTTTTAATTAATTAATTTTGAATTAAGAATTAATTAATTTTTAAATTAATTACTTAAGGTTCCAAGGGTTTTTAATTAATTAATTTTAAATTAAGACTTAATTAATTTTTAAGTTAATTAATTAAGGTTCCAAGGGTTTTTAATTAATTAATTTTTAAGATTTTTAAATTAATTAATTAAGGTTCCAAGGGGTTTTAATTAATTAATTTTTAATTAAGAATTAATTAATTTTTAAGTTAATTAATTAAGGTTCCAAGGGGTTTTTAATTAATTAATTTTTAATTAAGAATTAATTAATTTTTAAATTAATTAATTAAGGTTCCAAGGGTTTTTAATTAATTAATTTTTAATTAAGAATTAATTAATTTTTAAGTTAATTAATTAAGGTTCCAAGGGTTTTTAATTAATTAATTTTTAATTAAGAATTAATTAATTTTTAAATTAATTAATTAAGGTTCCAAGGGTTTTTAATTAATTAATTTTTAATTAAGAATTAATTAATTTTTAAATTAATTAATTAAGGTTCCAAGGGTTTTTAATTAATTAATTTTTAATTAAGAATTAATTAATTTTTAAATTAGTTAATTAAGGTTCCAAGGGTTTTTAATTAATTAATTTTTAATTAAGAATTAATTAATTTTTAAGTTAATTACTTAAGGTTCCAAGGGTTTTTAATTAATTAATTTTTAATTAAGAATTAATTAATTTTTAAATTAATTAATTAAGGTTCCAAGGGTTTTTAATTAATTAATTTTAAATTAAGAAATAATTAATTAATTTTTAAATTAATTAATTAATTAAGGTTCCAATTAGCGCTAATTAGCACTTAATTGCAGCCCCACCCCACGACCTCTCCCTGACGGCCCCTCCCCGCACCGCCAGCCCCGCCCCCTGCGCAGGAGGCCCCTCCCCCGCCTCCGCCCCGCCGGGGGGCGTGTCCTCGGGAGGCCCCGCCTCCCCCCGCCCCCTGACAGGTGGGGGAGGGGCTGGCGAGGGTCCCCCCCCGGGTGGGGGAGGGGCAGGGGAGGGGGGCCCGGACCCGGCGCTGGAGCGGCGGCTCCTGCTGCTCCTGTCGGACCTGGCCCTGCCCCTCCCCCGCGACGCCCACGCCCTCTGCGACGCCATCGCACAGGTGAGGGGGAGACACACCTGGGGGGCACACCTGGGGGCGTCTGGGGGGCACACCTGGGGGCAACTGGGATACACCTGGGGGTGTCTGGGACACACCTGGGACACACCTGGGGGCACCTGGGCACACCTGGGGGCACCTGGGGGCACTTGAGGGCACCTGGGA